CTTACCATGTTAAAAGTAAATAGACTTCAGTAATCAAGCCCAAGTAATCAAGAGTAAGATAGATATCCTTATGTTTTTTGGTCCTGCATGCTCAGGTATATTTACGGAATAGATAAACATTGGATTAGATCGCCAACAACATGTAACAGTAATTTATTTCACTTTTCACTAATACTATAAAAAATCAAACTGCACAAAGGATTTGTGAATATACATATTGCCCAAGGAAGTGATTTTTATCACTTTGTATTATCTATTTCCCTGACACTTCTTGAAGACCTAGAAGTTTTAATGATGACTGTGAAACCAAATCTGCTGATAAAACAGCTAGTCAAACTTGGATGAAAGTCACATTCTCGAGGGCCACTCAACACTTCATCACTACTAAAGCCACCAACAGAAAGAATTTTGTGTTGATCCTCTAAGTGTGTGAAATTCACAGTTTATGACCTTAACTGTGCTTACTTACACTATGATGCTTACCGAAGCTAAACTCATGTCTTAGTTTTCTACATTTAGGTCAGTGTTTATTTAGCAGCAAGAAAGCTAAACTACCTGCCTTGATTACACAAGACCTCCAATGCCAGTACTTGGCCACTGCTTTGGTAGTTTTCTGATACTGCTATCTTTACTGAGTTCTGTGCCTAGGGAAAAATTTAAATGGTGCCATTCATCAGTAAATGTAGCACTACATCCCAAAATCTTATCTCTACTTGCACACCTGACATGTAGCAAAGTTGCTTTACTGTAGTTTAAAGGCCAGTGTGTAGATAACCTTAGGCAAAGAACTGCAAGTTAATCACACAGTTGGACAACTGACATCATCCATAAATTGTTCTGATATAATGGCACCAGCATGCTAATTTATGTGAAGTGATGTCCGTTTGCTTATCATGGATTGGAAACTGTTTCACATAAAACAAAATTCTAATGCATCATATGGAGTTATAGCCTATGCTAATTGCTTTTGGCATATTTCCCCTTGTAACCATTTACCCAGCTCTTGGAGATGGTAAATGTCTCTTTAGGAATGTTTCAAAACAAGGTATTTTCCTTAAAATTAAATACACTAGCTGCACTGAGAAGTAATGAAATTTATTTTAATGTAACCACACAACTAATCCATATTCAGATAGAATAAAGTATGTGTTGGTGCTTATTTAAATACAAATGGATGCTATCAATGAAGACTTATTACTAAAATCTAAATAATAAAATTTAGTAAAATAAATATTTAAGAACAAGTTTCCTACTACATTGATTAAGAACTTCCTAAATCTTGTATGAAAAAGAGAATTCAGGACTAATTAACTGATTAACTAATTAACCCATTTCATCACTATACTGAGGCTGTACAAATGTTAAGAAAAATCTGAGTATGTCCTTATGTAGACTGAGTTTAGGTTCAAGTTTGTTCTTTTTGCATCTGTCAGGGGATTCTTTGAATCACTTCTCAACCTAACTACCAGGGACTCTGCTGGGGACACCAGGAGCCATCAGACCTATTGGTTCTATAGCAGTGGGAAGTAATAGGAATGCTGGAGGAAAACGTGAGCACTCTTCAGCCAGTGAGGGAGCTGAAGCCAACAGTTACCTTCAGTTTGTACAGAAACAGTGCCCTAAGTCTGTTAAGTCCAACAGTGCCATAAGCAGTCTGTTAAGTGAGTGGAAACTCACACATAATATGACTATTATTATTTAATTGTATTTTAGGTCAATTTCTGTTAAATCAATTTCTGTTAAACTTAATTATATCCCTCTATGGCTTTAAACTGGGGCAGCTTCTATTAAGTTTACTTTCTCCTGGGATTTTCACAGTAAAGACAAATGATAAAGGTCTGGCTACTAAATGAGGGCAGCTATTAAATAAGGACGGCTTGTATTAAAGCTGGATGGTAAAGATGTGGCCACAGGTTGAGAAAACCCCTTAGTAAGGCAAGCATCTTGTATTTAACGAAAAACAAAACAGGGTGGAGGACAGAGAAGGAAACAAACTTTGGTCAATAACTCTTGTAAGATACTCTTTAAGAAACTTAACAGAATGTCCAAAGTTTCATGGCAACTTCCTCGGGAGCTTCTCTTAGAAACGAGTGAGTGGTAATTTGATATAGGTTCCTCCTTAGTGAAAGAGGAGAAAATTAGGCACAAACCCTGGTTCTGGAGTCCAAGAGATATAAGGACTTGTAATATGATTTTAGAAAGTTGTTGACTACTAAAAATTCTGTCAGCATTATTCTAGAAGAGATAAGATAGAGAACCCTACAATGTAGTTCAGTTTAGAATTACATCATAATTCTAGAAAGAATACAGTTTAAACAAGTTTTTAAAATTATAAATATCTTTTGCTTTTTTTTTGGAGGGGAGAAGTTTTTACCACTCCAGAGTTCTTAAAATCAGTTTATGTTTTACTTTTCCTCTACTATTATTTATGAAAAAACTTGTTTCTTTACTAGCACTGACACTGCACATATGCATATATTCTGATGAATATATCTATAAGACAAAAGAAAAGGTGCATTATTTCATGTATACCATGTTGTGTTGTTTTATAGTGCTGTAGATAAGTGAAACACTCAAAGGCAGTCTAATCTGAGTGCACAGGTATATCAGTGGCTCTGAAAATTTCCACTATGCTGATGGTGAAATAATACCCAGCCAATTCATAAACTCACCTTCCTAAACTCACATTTCATAAACTCAATTTCTGATAATTACTTGTGTTTTTTGCAATGCACGGTTGCAACAATTTTTCTATGCAAAAATGTTTACAAACAACAAGGTTATACCTGTCCACAGCTGATGTGATGGCTGATGAAAATATGCAGAGAATCTCTCTTCCACCTGGTGCAATATTTCACATAAGAAACACAGTGGACCACCTTGGGGCCAAAGTAGTTGGCAGCAACTTAGCCCAATGACAGGAAAAATCTGCTTGGCTGAGGGCCTACACCTAATCTTCACTAAACATCTGTTAGATATCATAAGAAGAATGTTGAAGATAATATACATATTAGTTTTCAAACGTACCCCAGTAAAGGGATTACTGCAGCGATTCTTGATTGCACTTGGGAACTGATGCATTTTTAAAACTGAAACAGTAAGATCCATTTGATCAAATTTGCTCAAAATTTATTTTTAAACTTTTTTTTTTTTCGGGTGAAAAAAATGCTACTTCTGTGAACTCTGGAAGACAGAACTCAAATTAGCAAAATACCAATACATCAGTTGCCAGGTAAGAGCTCACACAGAGCAACTTCAACACATTTTTATATACCTGAAGTCATACTGTTCATCTTACCTGTTAAAGAAAAAGAGCACAGAAATATTTCTTGGTTAAAATACCTTTATGGATTGCTTACCTTTATGGATTTTAATGACCTGAAATAAACATTAGGGAATTGGATCAATATGTCAAAATACTGAAAGACAAATATATTTGTAGTCCTCAAAAGTTAGGTGTACTCAGCAGAGATCTATTGTGGGTGTGGGGAAATAAAATACAAAGCTCCAATCATTCCATGTTCATAGTAGAGCAGGAACTTGCTATCTTGCTTTGTTCACACTCACCAAAGGTCAATCTAACTAACAAGTTATAAGCCCTGTTCCAGGCTTAGGCAGGGAATGGAGAAGAGTGATAGAATGATTATGAACAGAGAAGCAGGTTATGTCTCTGAAGTTCATGCAGTTATATTGATTTTAAACCAGAGAAGTTACGGCTTCATCTACTTTCCAGGATTTGGTCTAGTCATAGGACTCTAACTTTTCAAGGAAAGAACATATTTTTTCAAGGATTTTAGATCAAGAACGTACAGTTGAAGAAATAACAGCATTTTTAAGTTTGTTTTTGCTGAATTGTGATCTAACTTTATGCATAAAATACATTTAAATGAATAATAATAAGAGATCAGAGATCAGAGATAGGTGGTTATCAATATGCTTCACTAAAGGTAACATTGTAATGCACAAATAATAATGTTATGACAAAGAGGACGTAGTATCAGCTATATTGTGGAAAAATAAGATAAATTAATAAGCAGCATCCAAAGAAGTTGGATAATTTTCTTTTTTTCATATCTAACTTGCATACGCTGTTTTATATAAGTCGTTGCCATGTGATTTAGACAAGATTTCCAGAAATACTTGTTTACTAGACTCCCTTATATTTCAGAAAGAAAAGATTTATCTCACATGTTCTGAGCAGCAAACACTGGATAGATTTTGTCCAACAGCTCTCATTTACAACGAGAAAGTAATGATCATGGTCACCCAGTATTTTGTCTGTTTGCTTCCACTGTCATATGGAGTAATGGTCATGTAACAGTACATCAAATGCACTACAGGGAAATAAGCACCTCTATTTTAGAGAGGTTTCAACTTAAGTACAGGGAAAAACAATGGGTGGATAGGAGAAATAGAGTAAGAACATATTGCAACCACAGTTCTAGCCAGAAATCTAACGATTGGCGACTGGTTCTATTCTGCAACTATGAAAAGAATCTGTTTTGCTATATAAACACCAGCATCTTCCACGACTAACATTCATAGTATGGCTCATACATATAACTTAAATACAAATCTGCACTTGCATTCACTGTCAATAAGCAATATTCAAAACAAATTATAAAAAGAAATTTTTGTTTAGCTTGTGTATAGTGGGGAAAAAATAATCTAGTTCAACAAACCATATGTAGGGCATAATAATCTATGAGCTCTGAGCATAGGTGAAGAGCCAAATTCATTTGGTACTAAAATGGTACTAACCCAGAGTGCATCTAATTAATTCAAAGAAATTATTCTAAATTCATAACAGTGAAAATGAGAACAGAATGTGGTGCAACATGAATAGGCATAGGATAAAGAGAATGATGACTGATAGATATATATATTTGATAATGGAGGTGAACCTACACTCAAAGAAATAGTTTAATTAGTGCCATAAACGTTTTACAAATAAAAGAAGAGGAAATGAATGCTTTACCACATGGAGCTTTTGTTTTTACCTGACAAATGCGTTATTCACAGAAACAGCTTGTAAGTATTTCTTCAGGGCATAATAATTATGGATGTATTTCCGAACGTAATAGCCTCGCCACCTTTTCTGGATCTAGAGGAAATAAATATTTGCTTAGTATATTTCAAATCAAAAGTTTGTATGCATATCAAGTATCTGTAGTTTATCCCAAATAATATGGTTTCCTTAAAAGTGTTATGAAGTAGAAGCACCAATAAGTTTCAATGAAGAAAATTAGGGTAGGATGTAACATATTGTAGTTTAATGGCAATACAAATTTACTATTATATGCAAACATTAAAAAATAGTATCAAATTTTAAACCACTGTTTATATTGGGACGTGACAATGAAAAAAAGTGCCTGCTACTACCAGTGGCATTGCTCTGTCAGAACAGTAAAAAAGCAGACAACAGAAGTGTTGTCTTTTCCCAGGTACAACAAGCATTCCCTACCAGTCACCACCTCACCAACATCTTACACTACACTTTCACCTTTGTGCTCTAGTTAAATTGTAGACTGAATAAAAGCCTTCCCAGTGATTCAGTGAATCAAGCTTTCTGCAAATTTAATTTACAAACCGCAGTTCTTTCATCTCCAGAGAAAAATGATTCATGTCTATTTGTTGCACATAAATTATAATCTTCTCACGAAATACCATTCTCCTGCAAAGCAGAGAAAGCCTAACCTGGAAAAGGAAACCTCTTTCTCTGTAGCTAGTTGTAAAGCTGTATTACGAATAGAAATTAAGCAGCATCCTCCACCAGAAAGAATTTATTTTTTGGTGCATTTTGAAAAGCATCAATTGAAAAAAACGAGAAGGAGAAAAAAAATAAAAGGGGAGAGGGAAACTTAGTCTACCTGACTTTCCCCAATAATTGATTTTGACGAAAACATTTAAATCTTCTCTGATACTTAAAAATCCTAATCATGATGTTTCTGAAATTACTACCTGTTTACTGGCTATCTGTTTTGTGGGAAGGGAAAGTAAGCATTAAGGATGGACAATTAAGCATTGGGATGGACTGCCCAGTGAGGTGATAGAGTCACCATCCCTGAAGGTGTTCAAGAAATGACTGGACGTGGCACTTAGTGGTGATCGGACAAAGGTTGGACTCAATGATCTTAAAAGCCTTTTCCAATCTAAATGATTCTGTAATTCTGTGATTATGTAATTAGGTAAAAAGTTATCAGTACTTTCACGTTTATCCCTGTGACATGTACGGGAGGAAGACGTAACTATTCAGTCATGCTGAGGGTTGCTCTCGTTCCTCATTTTCTTTGCCATAAGAGGTCAGTGTATTCTAGATATACACATCTGAAGAATAGATTAATGATCTTTTAGATTAGTTTTATATTAGTCATAGATTAATGATGATAGATTAATGATCTTTTCCTTTGTTCCTTATGTCTAGTTCCTCTATCTTTACATTCTTCTGTCCTTGAACTTATTAATTTCCCTGAAAAATATTCTTTACTTCCTTTTTTGCAATTTGTCTCCTTTTTCCTCAATATTTTTCTAAACTAATCTCCAAATTTCTATTTTCTAGTCTGCAGTACCTTCATTACTACTCCAACATCCTTCTCTTTGACCTTTACAGCTCTGAAATCTTAAAAGACATAACAGCTGAAAGGAAGAATCTACATTTAAAAAGCAAGAAGTTTGAGGTTTTACTGTCCAGAAGCAAATCCAAGTGCGAAGTTACTCCCCTTCACTAAATGCATTGAAGAGAAGAATGTTCTAATTTTCTAAGAGCTATCCTACCCCTGTGGGCCTCTAGCTACTAGACTTTTTAAGAATTTAAACTCTTCAGTGCATCTACAGGGAACATTCTTCTTTTTTTTCCCTTTACATCAACCCTTCTCTTTCCAGAACCAAGGGATGACTTGGTAAGTGGAGTGAAATCCCTGTGTTTGTGGTATTGGGATTTTTTTCGTACCCTTTATCATTCTAAATACTCATGTAAAAAAAAAGGAGGGAAAGAGTGTCATGGGTTTTGTGTTTGATTCAGCAAGAAGGCAAGATTAAAAAAAAACTTGCCTATTGCCCCTCGTATTAATAACCTTCAAAAGGTTATTCAAAGTCGAAAGACTTCAGAGTCTGCATCATCAAGTCGTGGAACTGCTCTACAGTAACAGGCAACTTCTCTCAACTCCTTCAAGTTCCATTGCAGTCCAGTTCTGTACCACTGTGATATCTGACACAAGTTACTGACTGCAATTTCTCCATCTCCTAACTTTTCCTGAGCAGAAAACAGTAACACACTGGAGCTGTCTATAAGAAGAATAAGGCAGGGCTGAATATTTTCATACTTTGATACCATTTTTCTATCACAAACCCCAAAACACTACTATTCAAAGTAAAAACTAGCATTTTGCCTCAATCAATGACACTTTCTGGTACAGTTATGATTATTTTCTCATATGGGATTTAAAAGAGAAAAAGTATCACAGAAAAGGTTTCCCTAAATCTTTGAGTCATGTGTCATGAAGAAAACTAAACTATGCGCTGGAGTTATTAGGAATAAGAAGATATCAACTTCCAGTGCTAATATTTTCTTCTATTTCCCCTTTGTGCATCAGCATGTATTTTCCTCTCTTCCCAAATAAGACCCAAAACTAATTTAAAAAGCTGATATTTTCTTTTACCTATGTGTTGTATAAACATTTTTTTTAATAATAAGGGTTTGGACCTGAAGATATCGTTATAATATTAATAAATAATCGTTATGGGAACAAGAAAAGTTAAGCACTAAACATGCTGCTTTGCACTAGGTGATAGTAAATTTCATACTCTGCAACTCCACTTTCTCATAGACAAGCTTATTGGGTTAAAAAGGAATGGAGAAAGAGCAAAGAATGAGTATGCCTTCAGAGATCTAGGATTAAGCAAAATCCTTTGCATGTGAATAAGGATCTTAGCTTTGTTTTGCTGTTTGGCTTAAAAATTTCTCAACAAGAGAAACTTGGCTGCCATATAGCCATGTGCTCATTAATGCAGGATTATGGTCCCTTTGAAACTCTTTCTGACAGTCTTCACCTCACAGTTATAAATGCGGAACTGGATATTTCTGGGTTAAAGGATCAAAACTCAAACTGAAAGACAAAGGGCTCAAATTGTATAAAGCTATAATTACCTCCAATGGGCTCAGTGTACCAATTAAATGCTGCATTCTATCTTTATTTACACCACTTTCTGTTCTGAGTGAACTCACTGATTTCAACTGAACGAAACACAAGAAAAACTGCAGTCTCAAATTATTTTATGCTAGATTTCTTTTTCCCTAGTACTGTATGTCAGAGATCTCAAAACTGAAGATTAGTCTTTTTAGAAAAGACCATTTTATGCACACCTTCTGATGATGCTCGTGTTTTCAATGTGAAAGTTTTAAATGTTTCCTTTTATAAGGAAGTATAATGTGATGCAACTGAATTTCTTTCTAATTCCAAGGTGAATGTTTAAAAAATTCTTGGAAAAAAAAGAGACAACTGTGTGTGCCCTTCAAAGTAATTAGCAAGTTTCAACAGTGATTGGTACAAAACAATTATTGTCATTGATCAGCACTGAACAGATAATTTTAAACAAAGTCATTGTGTGCTCAGCAGATTACAGCTTGTTAACGGGCAAGTTCTAAATGACCTCTTAAGCTAGTCAAATCAATGATGCATATTCCTCATTAAGTAACATCAAAATGTAAGTGGTCTTATAAATAATGTTTATTTTAAGCACTAAAACAAATGGCAAAACCTTGATATATCAAAAGCCATCTGCTCGTGGAAATTTTTTTTTTTTGCCACAGGATTACTTTTGTTGCTGAAAATTTATAGTAACCTTAAATCTTTTAAGAGAGAGAATCATAATTTGACCTAGTACTGAAACTGATTAACACAAGATCTCTGATTTAATTTTAGAAGGTAAAACTGATAGGTCTGGTTACAAAAGACAGAGATGTAGAATGACATACACAGTTATTGTTATATTTTTAGAACACTGAACTATATTAGTCATGAATCAAACTCCCAATGTACGAATATGAGGCACTGTTGGCTTAGGAAAAGTAAAGTCTGGGCATGCATCTACTGTGCAGAAGCTCAACAGGCCTGATTCTCGATTGTCCTGGACCTTGGTTAGTTCTTCAGAAAACTGATGACAGAAAAAAACCAAAACCATGCAGTGTTTCAGATTGGTAGCATTTTAAATCTGCTCTGCAGATATGGCTACACAAGATTATTTAGATAGAGGAGAAACCGATTCTGACATTTGCAACTAAATAAAGATCTGTTCTATTGTTTTCTACTGATTTAAATTTCTATTAAAGAAAAGGACATGACTGAAAAAATGGTACTTTGAAGATTTATATCACCTAATGATTCAACATTATATTTCCATTACAAATGAATGGGAACACATTCCATTTCTTTTAAAAATGAAAGACCAAATGCAAAACTCCATTTGACTAGAATACATAATTACCTCTGAAATTTAGTCTTCAAATGTCTTCTAAAAGTACACAGGCAACTTTTAAGAGCTGGCTTACATCTTATGTTTTCTCACTGATTTCAGCGGCAGCAGTAAATGGCATTTATCCACTGTGGAATACTTTTCAACTAGCTAACTAAGGAATAAACTAAAACAATAACAAGAAAGTACATTTGTGAGGAATTAGACCGCTGTTAAACACCTTCAGTTCTCTAACCTGCACCAAATGTAAGATTCAACTTTGTGCCTTTGAGAGAACCAGGACTAAGCAAAAAAGCTGATGGGAATGCAGCTCTTGACTCTGAGTTATTCTGGACCCAGAAAGGCCACAAAATTAAAATCCATTCTGAGAATCTTCCTACTTTACAGGAGTTTCCTTGGGTTAATCTTCATCCTCACTATATTCCTACATTTGGCAGAATTCAAAGGGTAAGATAGCTTGCCTAAAAAGATACAGGCCTCTCAAGTAAAACAGTTTTATATCACAAAATAAGTAAGTAAGATAAAAAGATTTCATCAAATTTATTATCTCATGTCCTTCCCATGTTTGTTTTACATATTTGTTTAGGTGCAGTTCCAAAGTTCAGTGAATAAAAATGCTAATTTCTAGTTAAGCATATTTTGCAATTTTCCCTGTAAAAAGCTTCATCAACTGTAGATTTACTAAAGTTCATGGACTGTTTATACTTTTCTTCATTTAGCAAAATTCACTCATAGTATCATCAATGAGATCAGTGCAGTCCCACCTCTGTGTTTAGGCAATGAAATTGTCCTGCGCTCTCTGAGTAACTCTTGAGATTCAATACATCAAACGTCATGTACCAACAAAAGAAAAAGCACAGCTACATCAGCAAATCAGCATAGAAGCCCTATAGTTTGTCAGAATTGTAAATATGTCTACATTTGTAAGAACATTGGCAAACAGAATGTTTGGGGGTTTTAGCAGTATCACATAAGGTAAGGTACAATGAACATTTAAATGGGGCAAGACACACGCAGGTGCCTTAAATTCAGCTACAGTTTTCAAATACAACCCAAACTACTGAGTGCAACTTTAATTTTTAACTATGTACTATTTCCCACTGTTGCCATCAGCATATCAATCAAGTGTATATTATTCTGGTTTGCTCATTTTATTAAAAGCAAATTCGGAGCACAATTGACTTTTCATTTGTTTAACAAGGGAAGAAATATTTACCCTGACAGCCATTTCATTGTAGAAATTCATCTTCATAATAAAATATGCTGTCTGTGAACCAAGGAAAAAAAAGATGGCATATATTTCAGTTACACAAAGACAGTCCTCCTATTTTTACATATAAAAGATAAGAATCTTTATACATAATACATAATAAGAGTTCTAGGCTTACAGAGAATAAAATCAAACTTTGTATTGAAGAGATAGGCTTCCTAATACATAATGCAGGCTTAACCAGAAAAATCTATGGTAGTCAAACTAGGAGCTAATGGAGATATATGATCATAAAATGCTCTCCGCTGAGTTTGATAATCAATGGTGCTCTACTGAGAGTAGAATAACAAAGCAGAAATATTCACAAGTGCTGGTGACACGTAGTATTGTATGATTTATTCACTGGGGTTCTTTTAGCCAAAACTCACAGAAACATAAAAGGAATTCATATTTCGAGACGTCTGGTTTAATGAAAAATTCAAAGAAATGCTGTCTTCAGTCGAAATCGTTCAAGGATACGGATGCAGTGATGGAGCAAAATTGTGCCTTCCAACCATCTGTACTAAATGTTATGTACTTAGCTGCCTCCCGAGTAATCGTTGGGAATTTTGTTTCATTTAATATTCATTTTAACATCATAAAATCATAAATACAATGATACCATGTTACAGTGAATCCCCTGATATAGAAAACATTTCCTGAAGTCCTGGTTTCCTTCCAATAAAGTAGAATTCCTCTCAGAGTGAACGAATCCCCTATTATACTAAGCAATCACTTGGCAGCATAGGTTATTTTAATGGATACATCACTTTAAACTAAGCTTTCACATCTGTTCCGCCCTCTAATTACAAATGCAAAATGAACATAATTCACAATTGTATCATAAAAAGTAAAATATAAGTACTTTGAATGCAAGAGTATGTCCTTTATTTAGCACAACATGCAGCTTTTATGTGTTTCTCATGTTTTAGACACAAATCAAAGGCAAAAGTGCTTTCCCCTGATATAGTGATTTTCTCCCCCATGGCAAACAGGAATTCACTATAAAAGGGTTTCACTGTAATTAGTGTTATTTGAATTGCCTAGTCTGATCCAAAGCAAATTGTCTGTGGAGAGCAGCAGGACTGGATTATTTATCAACAGTCTGGGCAATTAAGAAACAGTTGGCTGCAATATGTTATTTACAAATGAACACAATGATGCTACTTCATTTTAAATTCTCTTTCTTCATTACATTAAGCAAGGCATAATTCCTGCAGTTTAATTAAGGTGGATTTTAAATGCTCACTTTAATATCATACCAATCTACTAATAATGGAAACAGTGCAAAAAAATATTTCTTATGTGAAAGAAAATTGCAGGGTTGTTCAATTTCAAAAAAGTTTCACGTGTATGTGTAGATGTATACATACACATACGTATATATATATACACATATATATATTTGAGGGAAAATCTGCCCCAAAGGTACAAATTAGAATAAACAGTGGACTGTCTCTCTCCCTTCACCTCCATAAATGTTTACTGAGTGATACCAAGAGTAGCTAATAATGGAATGAAATAATGTCTTCCAGATTTAAGTATATTCCTAAACTGTTCGATTAAATTGATAAAATTTTGTTTTGCAGCTCATCTTTTCTTTCTTTGCAAGGGAACGTAAGAGTTGCCGCACCACCAAATAGATAAAGTACATTTTAATGGAAGTTCCTAAGCTTAAAAATGTTTATCAGATTTCTGTCCATCGATTATTAAACTAAATCTTACATCTTTTTGTTTATTATTCTCAGAGTTGAAGGCTGTGAGCACTTAGGTCTGAATGCAGCCCATTTCACTGAAGAACCTAAATCGGAGACCTAACATCATTAATGCTCTTGATATCATCAACACTCAAAGACAGAGGGACCACTGTCTCTGAGTTTGGCAAAGTATTGAAGAACTTTGTCTACTATTTACAGAGACAGTCAGTGGCAACTAGGGTCCTAATTTGCACACCTCACTAAGGTGTGAAAACCCAGGCCTTTACCACCACTTAAGATGGTCACTCACAATAAAAAGGAAGTTACACATTTCTGCTTTTACTCAACCATTGCTCTAAATCACAAGTCATCCAAATGCAGAATTGCTCACACAACTGTCTTACAATCTTATTCTTTCACCAAAAGCTGAAGGCTGTGTCACCATCTAGGTTCTTTTGCAAATAGATTTGCCCTCTGTTTTCTAATCCTGATCAGAAAGTTTTGCCATTACAAGTGATGGAAAATGTGTTCATCCCTATTCACAAAAGAACAGTCATAATGTAATGCTTCAACCCAAGTCTGCACTTATGTGCTCTCCTACTAAACAAAAGATTCTTTAATGAACTGGGGCCTGCTTGTCCAGAAGATCCTTTCCTTATGCTTAAGCGGAATTACCTGCATTTCAGCCTGTGTCCAGTGGATTGCTTGTCATTCTTACATTGAGTGCCAATTTGAAGGTGATACTGCCAGGATAACTCTCTGGGGAAAATTATCTTGCCATCTCAACCACATGTACCAGCCCCATTTCTGAATCATGAAGTCTTTGTATCTCCCTGATGTTACAGGTCTTCCTACTTACTTCATGCACTTACTTCATGCGCCTTACTTCAAGCGCATGTTTCCAAAATATATTTGAAGCCTTTTGTTTATAAACTGTTGTACTATTTTCTCCTTTTGCATGTAAAAACATGTTTGGGGACCACCTACAAATGTGATCTGATTCTGACTGGTGTTTTCTGTTGCTTTAAACAGTTAATATGAAATGACAAATTCAAACGAGATCCAGAAATCTGATTGAGGTTAAGGCTGAGAGAAGGAAGAAACACATTGTCTAAATTGGCGTGTTCTTGTGATGGTTTGGGTGTTTTTGTAGAGCAAATAGGCATTTGACTAATTCCTGTTGGACTGGAATTATTTAAAACTGGTTGCTGAGTTGAAGCTAAACCATTTAGGGTGGTGTGGTGTCAAACTATATCACATAAAATATTCACTTTTCTCAACTGCATCTCCTTTCAAAGTAAGCTAAAAATACAGCCATCATGCATGCCAACTTCATATAACAATTAAATGTTACAATGCCCCTTCCTTAAACAAGTGCTTATTTGACTTTGAGAAATAGTATAATAAAGAAACAGTGACGTCCAGTTTGATTCATGTTCTGGTGCTTGCCTGGTTTTAAAATTCGTACTTTTCTGCACGTCATGCAAAACTTCAGAATCCCACATAGTCAATGTAACTAAGTTATTAAGAAAATTGTAGGAGAGCATTTCTTAATTTTAGCTTGAGATTAATTAGGAAACAAAGCCTTATACCAAAGAACCTATGTTTAGAATAGAAAGGCACATAACCTTAATCATATGAATGGCATCAATAGGTGATTATTTTTTACTTAATGTATTTTAACAGTCAAAAGAAGAGGCAGTAGAGGAGTAGAAAATGAAATACTAGTAGTGATGCACATATGGACAACCAATCTGATGAGCCTCAGCCTTTGTTATTTTCCGCATCAGTACCACTCACATTTCACAATTTTGAATATAATCATTAAAATGATTTATTATCAAGCAATCATGGGTATTTTGTGCATATGCTTTGCCTTGTTTGCTGGCAGCAGATACCAATCCAATCATTATCAGCAGACAAATTTTAAAGTGACCAGAGTATTTAAGGAACTATCATGTCAAATGTATCATTGTGTTTCATAGTCAGGAGTCATTACAGCTGTTATTAGCAAGAGTCCATTGCAACCATTAACTGATCCTTTTAACTTGAAAGTTATGTTAAGCTGCTGAGAAGATTTGGGGTTTTTTTTAACATATTCCAAATTCAGCCATTGAGTAAAGACAGCATAACAACAAATATAAGGCATTAACTTGAACTTCATATTTAAGTCCACCCCAAATCACACAATACTGAATACAGCAGTCTAAAGGGAGTAAAAGGTATCTGTATCTGCTACTTGTATGGCTTTCAGGTTGGCTTCCAACCAGGCTGTCCTATTTAGTCTTCTCCAATCAAAGAGACGGCAAGTACAAAATGAAGTATTTGAAGGGGAAAAGTGGTTTTCTATGCTGATTGCTGTAAAATTTGTAAGCTTTCTGATGAGATTCTCTTTCTCTAGAGCCCTGGCTAGCACTGGATAAGTACTGGAATCCAGAAACTGGATGAATTCATGGTCTGATTTAGAATGTACGTACTAAGTGTGGGCTTGTAGAATTTTTTGTCCTACATTATTTCACAGACTTCAGATTTGGCAAGAGCTTGTCAGTTATGTCTATTTGAAGAGCTAAATATGAACTAGGCTTTATTGATTAAAGACTTTTTTATTTTTCTTTTCAGAAATATATTTCAAGAATGGAGAGCTTAGGGGGTTTTATGATGTTAGCTCTCTCAGCTTCATTATTACAGGAAATCTGTGCTAATTTGAAAGACTCTATCTTAAAATGTAACTGTCAGAGCGTTTTTTAAGAAGACGGGGAAAAAGAAGACAGAACAAAGAGGTGAGGTAAAAGACCTGTGATGTCATGAATGCACAGAACAATTGAGGTTGGCAGGGACCTCTGAAGCTCCAAACCACTACTCAAAACCGGGTCAATTAGAGAAAGTTGTGCAGGGCCTTGTGCGGTGGTGTTTTGAGTATCTCCAAGAGTGGAAACTCTGCAAGAACAGCTTGCTCAATCTGGGCAAACCCTTCCAGTATCTGAGCACCCTCACAGTAAAAAAAGTTGTTTCTTATCTTCAAGTGGACTTTCTTGTGCTTCAGTCTGTGCCCACTGCCTCTCATCCTGTCCCTGGGCACCAATTCCAAATGCCATTGAGGCTGGCTCTCTGGGAAGAGTTATCTTGCCATCTGACCTACAGGACACCACTCAGAACAGTGCAATGGACAATAAGCATGGTGGTTATGTGTTCACTTTGTATCTTATCTGGGTACCACTGTTCTTACACTACACATAAAAGTAAGTCTCTGAAGTGACATCATTCTATTTAAAATAGGAAACTGATTACTATCAACAAAGAAACTAGCATTTGAACATGAATGGCTGAAAGAAAGCTCCTTACAATCGGGCAGGGATTGAAAATTGGCCATCAGACCTTAATCCTGATTAATCCCTCCTAAAAACCTAATGATCAGACGTCAAAAACCGACATGGTCCTTATTCTCATCTTGAAAAACACAGAAACACATGAATCACCTTGTTTCTGAAATGAAATTCATCCTCCTACAATGCTTAAACTCTGAAAAAATGTAGAACTCAAGGGAACATTATGAGATTTCTTCACCTAAAACATTGCCTGAAGTGTATCTAAGCCATCCATAAGCATTTTTCTATTCTCCTCTTAACAACCTGCACTAGAGGGAGTTCCACAACATCTTTTGGCAGTATGCATCAATATTTCACATGAATTTGATTTCTTCTCTCCCTTTTCCCAATGACTGCATAGATCCTTTCTCTTCATTAAAAAAATTAAGATACATTATCATGTCTTCATTCTGCAGAAGCTCCTCTAAATTAAACAAACTTTCTCTAAGCTCAGGAAAAATATTCAGATGAAGTTCCTTCTCTTTTTTTGAAACAGAACCCAATCCAACCATGCAGCTATCTGCTCTATATTCAAGAATTAGAGATGACTGAAAAGCACAGCCTGAAAGGACGGCTCATAATTTATTAGTTAAGCCAGTTAGTAAATTGGAAGAGAGAAAATCTTTAAATAGATTACTGATAAACTTGGGGGGGAAATAGACAATCTTTCAGGTACATGACTCCTGCTACTTGAGAATAGAGCTCAGTAGAGGGTATGAATTTTGGTCTGTAATGTATGAGTTATTGCAGCTCTTTTTTTTACTTTTCCTTGAGTTGCCTGTTTTGATTGAAACACAACAATTTAACAAAATTAATCTAGAACAAATGACTAACAAGTTTAAAACTATTGTAAAACATTAACATAAATTGATAAATTAGTGAAGTAAACCACATATTAAACCTTAATTTTTTTATGTAAAAGGCAAATTAGTTTCGTCTTAATCTCCTAAACCTGTTAATAGAGGTTTTAGCTTGTGTGCTATCATACACTTTTGCTATCTTCAGGTCTATCAAGGGAATTAGATTGACTGTGATCTGCTGTGTGCCTTAAGGCAAAACCTCAAATACTTCAAGGTTCATTAAGCAAGAAATTTAAACCACTAAAACATAAAACAGCAATGTGTGGACACATTGGCTTATTTTATTTTCAAAATTAGAAGTTCTGCCAGGAAAAAAAAAAAAAGGCATCTTTTAAAGCTCCAATCCTGCAATTAGCATATCTCATTCCTGGTTTGGGGACTAATACTCCAGAGCTGCAAACACTTAAACACTGACTTAACTTGACTGTTATGAGTAGGCTTACTGAAATTAATGGTGCTTTTCATGATAGTAAAGTTAAGTACGTGCCTGTGTGAATAAAGAATCAAGATTCAGCTTTTTAATTTCATAGTGAGGGAATGAATTATTTCTATGTATTCTACAAATAACCAAACAAAACTTTTAAAAGTAGTTTTCTACCTCCAGCATTTTTCTGAAGTGTTTTCTGCATCGATATCCTCTCCACCACTTCTGTATCAAAATCACCATTGCATTCAGATGTCTAAAATGAAATATATTAACAAAATAAGATTTTTTTTGAGTATAACTTTTTTTCATAATATTAAAAATAACATATAGTGTATTATCCATACTTATTCCACACAGATGATCACTACAAACACACTTTATATGTATACATGTATGCATACATACATATGCACACATACAAATAGACCATTATATACCTATATTTATGCATACACACAAACTTTGATTTTTGGAAAAAACGTGTTACTGCAAACTTCCCTATTTTGGTTATCATTACAAAAGTTTAATGAAAAAGCCTTACAAATTTCATTTGCATAATAAGATGATTTTATTTGCATGGATGGTTTTAAACAACATATCTGATCAGTTCAGAATTTTTTATGTCACATGCACATTTTCGCAGCTTTACAATTTTTAAATATTTGGCAAAACTCACTGATATCTGGAATTTTGAGACACCTTATTCACTTTTATCTTCTTTGCTTTTATAAAATTACACCTAGCTTAATTGTGAGTTAATATTTACTTTGACTCTCTTTCTCTATGTATATAATATATATGTATGCATATATATATATATATGTGAAATTATGGTACTAAAAATTTCATAATTGGTGTCTCACATTAATTTTTGGAGAAAATCGTGCAATCATTACTTTGGGGCTGTCTAGAAAAAACTCCATAGGGGATCATTCACACCACCTGACTGCGGACATCAAACTCATAAGCCTTGAAGCCCACTCAGTGGAAGCAGTCTTAGGGTAATTCAGAACACTGAGAACTGCCTGTATTGAGCCTGTGCTCCTAAGTTAGAGAGAATCACAGAATCATTAAAGTTGGAAGAAACCTTCAAGATCAACTAGTCCAACCATCAACCCAGCACCACCATAATCACCCCTAAACCATATCCCCAAGTGCCACATCCGGACATCCCTTGAACAATTCCAGGGATGGTGACTTCACCATCCCCCTGGGCTACTTATTCCAATGCCTAATCACTCCTTCACTGAAATTTTTTTTCCTAATATCTGATCTGAACTTCCTGTGGTGCAACTTAAGGCCATTTCCTCTGATCCCTTCACTTGATACACAGCAGAAGAGATCGACCCCCACCTCACTACAACTTTCTTTCAGGCATTGTAGAGAGCAGTGCAGTCCTCCCTGAGCTTCCCCTTCTCCAGGCTAAACAACCTCAGCTCCTTCAGCTGCTCCTCATATGACTCGTGCTCCAGACCCTTCCCCAGCTCTGTTACCCTTCTCTGCACATGTTCCAGCAACTCACTGTCCTTCTTGTAGTGAGGGGCCCAGAGCTGAACACAGTAAATGAGGTGAGGCCTCACCAGTGCCAAGTACAGGGGGGCCATCTTTTTCCTAGTTCTCCTGGAAAAACTATTGATACAGGCCAAGAAACCAAGAGGACGCTGAGCAAGATCAGTCTGCACACAGTTGCAGAGAAAATCGTCTTCTACACGTAGCTGAGATTTACTTCTTCCTACATTGGTCATTACTAAATACAAATGTGTGTTTGGAAGAGCATTTTCCTATAGAATAGATTGGCAAAGACACTTGGGTTTTCACTTTCTTCTGCGGCATACAGCTGTTACTCATGTCCTGGAAACAGAGGCTAAATAATCAAGCCTTTGTCTTTGTGGGTGCTTTTTGACATTGACTTCTTGGAGAGTTGAAGTGCCACGTTTGTTTGCCTGCTGAATGCTTGCCTGTGACCGCTGCATCCTGTGACAACACATTTGAACCAGCAATGGAAAACAAATTACCTGTGCTTTTTTTAACAAGTGCACATAATGACTGTAGCCTATGAGGGAAATACTAGCCATTAAATAATTAATTTTATTAAACCTAATAATTACTTACGTTTCACACAGTCTGTCTGGATGATACATAATGACCCGTGACAGGCAAGAGGTCAAACAAAAAGATGTAAAAATCCCTCTCCCTAATTTTTATGAAGATGCAGAAATTTGAGCACATGAGTTTGACCAGTTGGGCTTACAATCATAAAAAATGGAGAAGGGCTTTCAGGGAGAAGAGACCAATCATAGTGTTTCCAAGAAGGTTGTATCAACATCATAAAACCATAGAATCATTAAGGTTGGAAAAGATCTCCAAGATCAAGTCCAATGTTGATATGGTATTTTACAGAACAAAGATCTCTGATTTATAAATGGAGAAAATTATGTAAAGAAAGATTTTTTTTAAATGACCTCGTTAAGTCCAGCAGTAGAACTTAATTTCTACAATAAAAGTCCAGTTGCCATACCCTCACTAGGCAATTTTTCTGTAACAACAACAATAAGAGAGAGCAGCACCACAGAAAAGGACCTGGGGGTCCTGGTTGCCAGCACGTTGAATCTGAGTCAGCAGTGCCCTGGCAGCCAGGAGGGCCAACCGTGTCCTGGGGGGCACCAGGCAAAGCATCGTCAGCTGGTCGAGGGAGGGGATTGTCCCACTCTGCTCTGCGCTGGGGCAGCCTCACCTTGAATATTGTGTGGAGCTTTGGGCACCACAATATAAGAAAGATATAAAGAGAGTATCCAAAGGAGGATTATGGAGATGGTGAAGGGCCTTGAGGGGAAGCCATTATGAGGATTGCCTGAGGTCACTTGATCTGTTCTGCCTGGAGAAGAGGAGACTGAGGGGAGACCTCATCCCAGTCTACAACTTCCTGATGAGGGGAAGAGGAGGGGCAGGCACTGATCCCTTCTCTGTGGTGACCAGTGACAGGACCTGAGGGAGTGGCTTGAAGTTGTGTCAGGTGAGGTTTAGGTTGGATATTAGGAAAAAGTTTTTCGCCCAGAGGGTGGTTGAGCACTGGAACAGGCTCCCCAGGGAGGTGGTTACAGCGCCGAGCCCGATAGAGTTCAAGAAGTGTTTGGACAGCGCTCTCAGGCACATGGTGTGACTCTAGAGGTGTCTTGTGCAGGGCCAGGAGTTGGACTTGGATGATCCCTTCCAACTCAGGATATTCTATCATTCTATAAGAAAAGTCTCTCAATCAGCATATCCAAGGGACATCTGCTTGTTTTGTTTCTTTTCCAGTCGTGACAAGATGTCCTACAGAATACTGTGTATCTATTATGAAGATAGATTATTTCCATGCTACCTATTAGCATCATGCCTTTTTAACTGTATGCAGTTCTGAAAATCAAAAATTACTTTTTACAGTGCCACAGCATATATTACATTCTGTTGAAAAGCAGAATAAGAGTTGTTGCTTTTTTTTCCCCTAAATGCTCCCTTTTTATTAAAATCAAGTAATACCATGAGCAATTTTGAGGAAAAATTCAAGGCTGAAACACAGATTAGGATAGGCTAGATGGCCTTAACATACTACCTCAGATAGGCTCGGACCCTGCATCCTCGAAACCAGCTCTGGATTTTGACAGCAGCTCTGTATTTTATTTTTCTGTCTTCATCTATAGATCTGGAAATATAAAAGCAGTAATAATTATCAGCATTGCAATGTAGAACCAAAGTAAAAAAATTATTCTAAATATGTTTTATTGTTGCAGTTTGGGATCCTTTTCACTAGGTTTTTCCCTTTTTAATTCTACATAATTCAATGGTAGTGCAGAAAAATGTAATTTACGTTAGTTGCATAGTATGAAGGTAACAAGGATAAAGAGTATTGCTATTCATAGGGGATGTAAGTTTTGGGAGAATGTATTTCTTATTCTCACACAATACTGAATATACATCTCAGCATGTCACGTGGACTTCCATTGCAGGTGAAATATGTGGATAATGCTTTAACTAAAATTAGGACTGAATTATAAGAAAAATCAGGTAACTGTGTATAATATTGTATACGATATGAATATTAAATAAATTCACTGTGGTCAATATTATAATCTGAAGCATATATTAAATATAAGATCTAGTTTAAACACATTATCTTTTGATTGTTAAAAAATATTTTAGTCATTTATTACTTGAACATTGATAGCATCAATAATGGTGACAGATACACTCCTTGTCTGTAGGATTTTTTTAATGAATATGAGTTGACCTTAGCAGGATGGAAACAGAGGATTTAGACATTCTATCTAGTTTCCTAGGAAGGAATTTCGAGAGGAGAAATATGAAAAAGAAGAGGTGATCAAAGGAACGTGAGATACAAATGTAAGTTTATACTGTTATGACAATGAAAGCATAGGAAAGAAACTAGGTGTGAGAATTTCCAAACTTTAGAGGGCCTGGAACATCAGGAAATTTAGTGTGGCTTAAAAGGAAGTCAGAACTTGGAAACTTAGTAATTTAAACAGATACCAAAGGGATGACCATAGGAATCTTTTACATGGAAATACAGTAGTCAATGCAACAGCTTATTGAGTCCTGACAGAACTTTTCAAAATGGGAATTCAAAGACACGGATTTTGGAGATGATGTAGATATGAAACTGGCAGCATACTGACATGTGCAAAGAGGGAATAAAAGGAAACAACAGAATTACAAAATATGCTAGGGTTGCAGCATTGATTAATACAGATCCTAGAGGAAATAATGAAAAAGGGAGGATACAGAGAAGGGTGAAGGATTTGGTTTTAAGTTACACAACAAGAAAGGTTATCTAGAAAGAGATACTGGTGAGGCAGCAGAAGATGCAAGGTTGATATAGGGGAGAATTGATGACTTCAAGGAGATTTTCAAGAACTATTAGATGTCAAAGCTTTGTGTCAAATGACACAGTACAAGGAAAGACATGCACAATTGGGAAAGAAACACAAGAAGCACAAGTAAAAGGACCTCATCAGAAAATAATTCCAAGAGATATCCCTTGCTTGCATTCTCTCTGTGACTCTGTCTACTAGAGAATAGTGTTTGTGACAAAGCTAAAAGTCATGTAAGGAAAACCATGAATCTAAAAGAGATTAAAGAAATATATTAACCTGGAAGAGGCTTTTAAGAGAATTTAGGAAGAAATCATTACCATTATGAGTTTCAATGCTGAGAGGTAAAACTCAGCTATGAGATCATCTCTGGCTTTTATTTACTTTTTATTTGTTTCAAAGCATCAGTAACTGTCAAGTCTTTGAACTGAAAATTATATTTTAATTTTCATGGATTTTTTTTTTGTTATCCCATTTTTATTAGGAACATATTTACCAAATACTTTAATTTGTTACACCTGACACAAAATAACAATTAGGTTACTATTAGTTAGTTTCCTTAATTAGCTGATATTAGTGAGCTCAATTAACAAAGTTTTGTGTCAACATTAATTGCATCAGTAAACACCAAAAAGATTATTTTTTGTCTGATAAATTAGGATTATCCTCATCATATTTGTTGTGAAATGAAATGCAGATTTACTATCAGAGATCAAGAAACATTAGCTCCACTCATTTTATATCATCTAGTGCAGCATGTGTTCTCAAATCACATTAAATGGGCACAAATTTTCATTGTCATCTGACAATCACCAGACCTTCTCAATATCTGAAAACTGTGGGAAACAAACTTTTTTAATCTAAGATCACAGAATAAAAAGTTTTCAAAGCTGGCTAGAGAGCTTACTTATTCCCTTCTTGTGTAGATTCTGAGTCTTCATAGGAAGCAGACACCTTCAGATACTTTTATCTAGAGGTAAATGATTTTGATTAAAAGGATTTTGATTGAGCAATTTGGGCCTGGACAGGCATCCACAACTACAGTCTGGAAATTAAGGAGTTGTGGGACCGGCCATGTCAGAGGTGACAGCTCCAAAACCATTCCTAGCCACTTGGCAATGACAACAGTCTGCTTCTGGAAGAGCAGAAGCCTTCTCCTCTCTTACTCCCTGTTAGATTTTTTTAGCTGGCATTCTGTCATGTCTGGCCAAGTCAGTTTACAAGTCCTTGTAAAGTTTATTGAAGCAGACCAACAACAAGACAGTTCCACAAACCCTTTCAACTGCCCTTGCCAGCAGAAGTGGTTTGAGGTGAAAGTTTCTCAGGCAGGTATTTGCCCTTTTGATCAGGTTGCATAGTCGTCACACTGTTTGAATTGAGCTTTTAGAGTCACAGGTATTTCTCAAGGACTTTACTGAAAGTAAAAAAAGCATATTCAAGGTCAGCACCTGACACAGGTGCTACAGTAAACAAAAGTAGGTTCTTGAATGAGTAGAGTGATAAAATTGCGTAACACTTAAGACAGTGCACTAATGGATTCTGAGTAGTCTAATGCTTATGCTGACAGGGTATTTCTCAAAGTGCAGGTTTATGGTATTTTTGCATTATGACATCATTGTGCAAGTCCTTCCCTAGAAAGGTGTTTTCCCTAAAAAGCCAGCTTAAGACACCTCATACCTCTCACATAAACAGAGTTCTCCATAAAGCATGACAGGAATGTTATGAAGATCAGAAAAATACTATTAAGATTAGTTGCCGAGCCGGACTGTTTGAATCTTCTCATTTAAATACTCAGCTGCAAATCTGAATTTTCAGAAGCTGATGAATCATAGCCTATTCTTAAAAGGGAAACAATTCATGTTTGGAAAGCTCTGCCAAAAAACAAATCCCCAAACATCAAGCATGCTGCCCTCCAACGGATTCCCAAGTCTGGCTCAGACTGCTCTTTCTAACCTGAAATATGTGAAATACAAGCATAGTTTCCTGTAACTGATGTTTGTTTAGTGAACTGCTGTGTGTACAGCCACAGGAGTATGAACAAAAGTTCAGGGGAAGAACAGGAAAACACACCACTCTACATGCAGGCAGGACTTGATGTCTGTGTAACTTTTAGGGATGTTCAGGAGCTTTGTTATTCATGCTAATGATGTTGTAATTAGATTCAAAAATAAATTATTCATTAATTAGTGAAGAAAAATTAAACTACAACTATGCTAAACACTTTTTTTTGTGTGTGTGCATATTTGCATTGCACATACAGCAACAGCAACAGTGCAGTTGAATAAAAGGGTTTACAGGACAACTCTATGCAATATTAAAGTTGGTCTGAAAACATTTTATTTCCTAAAATCTGATATGGGAAAAGCTGGCCATCACCATGTTAGCAGCCAGAAAACTCAGCAGTGCAAACTGTCCCACTTGGTGAGAAGGGTAACAGGTGATCTGATCTGCCAGCCTGTTGCTCACTATGTGGGATATGTTAGATCTTTAAGTAGAATAAACACCTCCTTAACTTGGTGAAAAAAAAAGACAAAGCACGTCCCAGGTACTTAGAAACTCAAGTTGCACAATCTAATCTAGAAACTAAGCTCACTTTTAAACAGTGTGGATAATAAACATCAACTCGCTCAGAAGTTGGGGTGATTTTCTTTCAATCAACTTAAAAAAAAAATTTAAAAAAATTAAAAAAAATAGAAAAAGTAGTGCCTTGCAAGAGGACAAGTGTTCAGGTATAGTCACAGACCTAACCCACCAGTGCAGGGGGCTCAAGGCTGGCGTTCCGCATCCTGGCATCGCTATGAGGGATCCTCAAGGAATAGCAACGATGTTGATGCAAGAGAGAGGAGCAGGCTCCTGGGGAAAAGGGGCCGGCTCCTGTGGAGAGGGCTGAAATCGCGAGGCTCAACACCTTTTAGGAGTTTCCAGAGGCTCCTTTCCCCTCAAAATTAGTGAGGGGTTGGGGGGGTGGGTTGGGGGGGTGGGCAGAGGAAGAGAGGTACATTAAGTATTTTTATTGTATAAATGGACCCCTTAAAGACGCTGTGCTGCTGCCATCAGGTCTCCTCACATCGCACTGGCAATATTTGGGACCAAGGAGGTGAGCTGGTGCTCTCGGGAGGGATTTTAAAGTGAAACAGAATCACAGAATGGTTAAGGTTGGAAAGGGACCACAGTGGGTCATCTGGTCCAACCTCTCTGCTGAAGCAAGCTCGTCCTAGAGCACATGGCACAGGATTGCGACCAGAGGGTTCCTGAATATCTCCATTCAGGGAGACTCTGCAACTTCTCTGGTCAACCTGTTCCAGCGTGCTGTCACTCCCACAGTAAAGAAGTTCTTCCTCATATTCAGGTGGAACTTCCTGTGCATCGGTTTCTGCTCGTTGCTTCTTGTCCTATTGCTTGGCACCACCAAGAAGAGCCTGGATCCATTCTCGACAGTCTCCCTTCACATACTTATAGACATTGATGAGATTCCCTCTCACCCGTCTCCTCGTGGCTGAACAGGCCCAGCTCCTTCAGCCTTTCCTCGTAAGAGATGTTCCAGTCCCTTGATCATCTTCGTAGCCCTCCGCTGGACCCACTCCAGGAGCTCCATGTCTCTCTTGTACTGAGGAGCCCAGAACTGGACAATTTCCAGAGGGACTGCTGCCATCTCGTTGCCTAGGGAGAGCCGGGGTCGCCCGCCCGCCCCAACCCAGCATGAAGAGGTGTGACCCGCCCCACCACCGGCACGGCCCGGGTACCTGTTCGCAAGGAAATACTCCTCTCGCAGCTCCGATAGCCTCTCCTGCAGCCGGGCCAGGGCGGCCATGCTCCCTCCCTCCTCCCGCCCTCCCGACGCCGCCGCCATGGCAACGGGACCGTCCCACTGCGCTGGGCCGCGGGGGTGGCGCTGCCCCGGCGGCCGCGCAGGGAGGGACCGGCACCGCTCCGGGGGCAGCGGGGGCTGCGCGGGGCTGCATCGGGGTCGAGACGAGGGTGCTGGAGGGGACGCGGAGCCCCTGGGTAGCGGCCGGGAGAGGGCTGGGAAGAGGCGAGGTGGTCGCGCCCGGCTTCCTCCGGTGCCGCGGCCGCTTCCGGGCCCGCATCATGGGGGACTGAGGAGCAGCGCCGGCCGCCCGCGCCCGCCCGCCCGGCCCGAGCCCGCCCGGCCCCGGCCCCCGCCCGCCTCCCCTCGGCACAGTCTCTGCGAAGCGGCGCCAGCCTCCCCGGGGAGCGGCCGGGCGAGGCGCCGGGTTCATGTTCCGGGTGGCTGAACCTACCCCGACCCGAGCTCAGGCGGCGAGGAAGAGCTGGTAAGCCCGGGCCCGGGGGGGACACGTGTCCGCCGCCCCCTGCCCGCCCGCGGGGCCGCTGGAGGCGGGAGCGGGTCGGGAACAGCATCTCCGCGCCGCGGGTGGGGCTTGGAAACGTGGGGGCGGATGGTGTCCCGGCCGGGCCTCCCCGGGGCTGCGGCTGGCACAGGGCGGAGGTGATGGTGGTGATGGTGCCGATGGTGCCCGGCCAGGCCCCGGGGATGCGCGGCCGGAGGTCTGACAGGTGCCACTGGCGCGTCCCGGCGGCGCGACGCGTTTATGAGCGAGCAATAGGCGGAGGAAGGAATTTCAACGACTTGCTGAAAAGGGACAGCAGGCAAACGATGAATCAAAACTTTTGTCCCGAGCTCAGTTAGGTTTCCCTGCGTGTTTGGGTTTTTCTGACAGTGATAGGCTCTCTAAGGCCTAAAGCCCTTGCAGTGTGTGCAGCTGAGCATCCAGGAACTTGGGTTTGCTGCTCTGGAGGTTTTTTATTGCAAACCAAGAATCAACAAGTGCTGCTGTAGCCATCGAGCAGGGAAAGCGTGGGTGGTTCTCCTGCAATAAAGTTCACAGATTTACTGTTTTATGTAATTCCATGTGCCAGCATAGTGACCACAAAGGCAATACTGTTTTTATTGTAGCACTGTGAATAGGGGAAGCCAAGTAACAGAATAGAAAAAGTCCCTTTTGTTAATAGGCCATGGAGGTGTAAAGACTGGTAGTGGAGAGACTTGATAGACACAGGATGTCCCAAACAACTAGCTGGGAAGCCTTTCGTTTTCTTCCTGAAATGTTACATATCTTGTGATATGTTGAGTAACAACTGGTGTGTATAGCTTGTCATTTGTTTAACTTTTATTAATGTCAGCAAGGAGGATTGTGGTGGGATTTTATTGTGTTTTTTTCTTAGTAATTTGAGGCCTCGAGGCTTTTTTAGAGGCTATATTCCATATACAGATAGCTTCTGGTAGATTTCTCAGATCTAAAATAGTTTTTCTTTCATCTTTTTTTTTTTTTGTTTCTTTCCTGGGGATGAGGAAGAAGAGGAAAGGAAAGGCTTTGCACTGTGTTTTCTTACATAGAAAACTCCATTTGTCCTCCACTTTTGCCGGTACCATCTGGTTTTTTTTCCTGTGGGTATTGTCATGGCTTCTTTACAATTTTCTAACTGAGAAAACTTTCAAAGAGGGATTTTACTTTCTCTGATAAATGTATTGGGTAGAAGAAGCTTGTCAGTATTGCTAGGCATCCAAATTTGCCTGATGTAAATATAACTTCTGTTGGTGTAATTCAGAACGTTTCAGAGAATGAGGTATACTCCAGTGGCACAAGTATTTTTACTTGAGTAGAAATGCTGCATACAATAGAAACATTGCCTACGACATTCCAAACATGTGTCTGTACTCTGAGAAATTTTTCATTAAATATACCGGTCATTCATCTTTAAATTTTACTGGTTTGTGTCCACATAAAGTAATAGTCTTCAGCAACATGAGGTGTGGGCATAGTCTTCTGTAACTGTCATCAGACAGTAACGATTTTGCTCGTGCAAATACACTGCCCAGAGGAATTCAATACAGAGAAAAATATTGAAATGTTATCTATAGCACTCTTAGTTTAGCAGTTCTTAAAGGAAGGTCTGTTGAAAATCTGACTGCTCCTCAGAGCTGCTCTCCTATTCTTATATATAAGTTATTTCAGAAGTTGTCTATTAAAGGAAGTCCATTTGATTGGGATGCAGGAAAATACTTTTTTCAGTGTCTAATACTTGATGTGGAAAATTAAGAACTTGTGCTTTTTTAACAGCACTGAGACCCTAAAGAGCTGAGTAGATTCAGAACAACCACAAAGTAAAACTGTTCACTTTGGATGTTAAAGCTGCTCCGAAGCTGAATGTTTTTCATTTAAATTGTGAACACATGTAACACTTTAGGAATAGTTTGTATTTTGGATACTTATTGGGCACTCTGATAATGACTATGGTGCTATAGTGTATTACCACCATGTGACAGTTCATGTAATTCTGCACCTTGACAATTAATTAGAGAACTAATACTTCTGAAAAGGGCAAGCATATCAGTAAATGACAGCAATGGGATTGTAAGAATTGCTCCCTCTTATGATAAATTGCTCCAAACCTCATTTCTGGCTGACCAATTCATTTGTGTTAGAGCCTTGTTAAATGTAGTTCATGTCAGCATCTTTCTGACTGTATGCCATTGCTCTGTACTAAACACTTTTTCACTGTTAAATATAAGTAGACTGATAGTATTTATTGTTGTGCCTTCTTAGATAAGCAGCAGTTGTAGAAAAGTCAGATATACTTATTGCAAGTTAGCCTGGCCCTAATTTTTAGGAGGATCAGCAGCATACTCAGTTATAAAATACCATCATTGCCCAAATACTTTTTATTGTATAGGAGAGAAACACATAATCACAGAATGGGTCAGGTTGTAAGGGACTACAGTGGGTCATCCAGTCCAACCTCCCTACTCAAGTAGGGTCATCCTAGAGCACACAGCACAGGATTGCATCCAGACAGTTCTGGAATATCCCAGTGAGGGAGACTCCACAATGTCTCTGGGTAATCTGTTCCAGTGTGCTGTCACTCCCACAGTAAAGAAGTTCTTCCTCATATTCAGGTGGAACTTCCTGTGCATCAGTTTCTGCCCCTTACCTCTTGTCCTGTTGCTTGGCACCACTGAGCAGAGCCTGGCTCCATCCTCTTGACACCCTTCCTTCAGATACTTATAGACATTGATGAGATTCCCTCTCAGTCATCTCTTCTCTAGGCTGAACAGGCCCAGCTCCATCAGCCTTTCCTCATAAGGTATGTTCCAGTCCCTTGATCATCTTCGTAGCCCTCCTCTGGACCCTCTCCAGGATCTCTGTCTCTCTTGGAGACTCTCTTGGAGTCTCTCTCTGGCTCTGAGGAGCCCAGAATTGGACACAGCACTCAGATGTGGCCTCACCAGGGCTGAGTAGAGGGGTAGGATCATTTCCCTCGACCTGTTGGCAATGCTCTTCCTAATGCACCCCAGGATACCATCGGCCTCCTTGTCCGCAAGGACACACTGCTGGCTCATGGACAGCTTGTTATCTGCCAGGACCCCAATATCCTACTCTGTGGAGCAGTTTTCCAGCAGGTCGGCCCCCAGCCTGTACTGATGCACAAATGTAAGGAAACTCCAATTGTCTAAAGCAGTTTCTCAAATACAGGGTTGGTACCAAGAATTCATGTGTAGTGTGTGACTGGAGAATAAAATGTTGGTAGTAATTGTATGCAGTTACTGGGAGCTGTATATAGAAAAAGTTCATAGACACTTCCAGCAAGTGTAGTAACTATGTCTTAATTGAGGAACAATGACTTTCATAAATCTTAATTTTTTCAAAATCCTCCTGTGCTTTGTTATTTTCTGGAGCTGATTTATATACACACATAATGGACTGCAACAAAGGAGTGTTGGCATACCTCGAAGGTGAAAAGTAGCCTGGGATTTTGGGTTTGGTTTTCCCTTTTGAGATATAGATGTGCTCCA